AGCTTTTGATTAAATCTCCAATCACATTTGATGTACTTCTTTCTTTCCATAGATGCTTGATCTCCAAGTCAATTTCATGCATTTTTCCAATATTAATTTTCTTCACGAAAATTCTTCTGTGATATCTTCTTTGAGTAGTAGCGACGTGAATATTGTATCATTCGTCTTCTTCTTCAATTTGTCATTTTCTCCAGACAAATTCTTGATTTACGGCTTTATATCTTCTTCTTCTATTTTCATCCATCTTCCTCTGTTTTTCTCTTTTCATAATTAAATAATTTCCCGATCATGGTCTAAGACTCTACTAGACCTAGAAATAGAATTGGGGGATCTACAAATACAAATTTGGCATATCAAAACCATTACACTTTATTCCTAACATTTTCAAAGTATATGCTAGAATGCTTTACAGGATTGAGTGTGGTTATACTTAGCTTCGTGCTAATAGGTGTTTTTCCTATTTGTCTATGTGTTGCTTGCAAAACCCCTTTCAGGTGGGCCCAGCTGTGTGAAGAAGTCGAATTAGATTAGTCTCGTAGATAGAGAAATCTAAACTCCAGTTCGGTTGATGATTATGTTATGGATTTAGACTTATGACTTTATACTCTTTGATGATGTTGTAGACTTTTGGGGTGTTGTTTTTCCCCCTTCACGAGGTTCATTAATAGCACAGTTCCACCTTCTTTTGTGGCACACAATGTGTTGCAAGCTTGCAAGAAAGAGCTCCGATCCTTTGAAGTCTGGCAAGTTAATTCGATCAGGTGGGAGCAAAACTGTGCAGCTAAATTTTTAGCAAAAAGTCTAATCGTTGCCCCAAAGGCTTGCATGTCTACCCGTTCCCTCCAGATGGAATCCAAGGTATTTTAGAGGATGATTATGAGGGTTTGCCTCATTGGCGTTTTGTAAGCACTTGAGATTGATACTTTTTGTAGCTATCCCGTTCCATTATTAAATAAAAATGTAACTCTAGGCACAAGGATAAGAAGCAACTCAAAAGCTAAGCAAAATAGTCAACAACGAGAATTAAGCAACCATCCAAAGAAAAACAACTAAGCAATCATATAATAACACGAGATGAAATTAATTAAAGAGACAAGGACTGGTGTAGGGGAACATGGTCTTCTAAAAATACCAAAGGCCTAAAGTGGCAGCAAGTGCCACTTTTTTCAAGATGTAGAAGGAGTTAGCAAGTATCGCTTCTTTCTAAATCTAGAATAAAAGATAGTGATTCTCCAGATCTATAGGCGGCAATGGCCTTCACTTCATTTCTTTTGGAAGAAGGTGACAAGCTTGTGGCCTCATCCAGATCTAGAAGTAAGTTAGTCGTCATCGCTTCCTTCCAACTTTGAGTTAGTGAACAATGGTGTAGGTGAAGGTAGCGGTGATAGTGATGGGGGTGGCGATAACAACGGCGACAATGATATTATTATTATTATTATTATTATTATTATTATTATTATTATTATTATTATTATTATCATTATTATTATTATTAATTGAATAAAAAGGACCATGTAGATGACATTTCAACAAAAAATGACCATGTGAGAAAAATTTGTCATGTCATCAAATTTTTACTGGTAAAAGTGATTTATAGGTCTAATAAAAACTTGATAGTTTAATTGCTATATTCACCATAATTGAAAAGCTTATTTCCAATTAGAAAAATGCTCTTTTCCCCTCCAATTGTCACACTACAAAAATATGACATGGCAACGTCATTGCTACGTGGGCAGACCTAACCAAAAAAAAGAAAAAAAAAACGGTGTTAAGTATGTTTATTGATTGTTCAAATCTTGAAGTATAGAAATTAAATGAGTTAATACCCAATATAGTCCTCGACTATAGTGGTTTTACTCAGTTTAGTCCTAAGTGACTTTTTGTACTCTATTTAGTCCTCAACTTTAATGGTTTTACACACTTTAGTCCTCCGTTAAAGATTTCGTTTGTTGGCCGTTAATAACAAGGTTAATATGCTAATTTCATTTCCTTTTTATTTTTTATCAAATTAATTAGTAATTAAATTTCCTAATTTCTCTCCTTCTTTGCTTCCCTGTCGATGAGGCATTCCCTAATTTCTCTCCTTCTTCTGCTTCCTTGTCGATGAGGCATTCCTAGTCGTGAAGAACCAAATTAATTAGTGAAGAACCACTGCCTCATCAACAAGCACTCAACAGCCTTTGCAAACACCTTAATAAAATTAAAACTTGCATCCAATGCACAAGCACCTTAATAAAATTAAAATTTGCATCCAATGCACAAGCACCTTAATAAAATTAAAATTTGCATCCAATGCACAAACATCTCCATATAACCTTAATCCAAAACAAACACATTCAAGTGTCAATTTGTCATACAATATGCATCAAACATGTAAAATATGTCATAAGAGCCCTAGTACATCAATTAACAGTGTTATACAAAATAAAAGGGACATCCTATACAAAAATATTTCATACTAATGTTTAATCAAGTAGTATTGTCTAATCTTGTCCTTTTGATGATAGGTAGCTTGGACACCTTTTCTTTATTCCTTGGGACATTGACTTCTTCACAAGCAGCCACAAGAGGAATTTGAACATTGACATCATCTTCATTCTCAGGCTGAGTATGGATTGCAATAACTTCAGCAATTTCTGCACCAAATCCTCCATCCATAAGTTGTTCATTATCAGCTCCTTCATTCTCATGTCCTTGATTAACTTCTGTAGTTGATGCATGATGATTATGAGGTTGTGGTGTCGTTTTGGTTCTTACCATCTTTTTTTGGATTTAGCTATAAACAATAATAAGCAAAATAAAATAAAAGTTAGTTGTGAACTAAAGTAATTAAATTTGTCAATTGAAATTTTAAACTTACCAACTTTTCTCTCACAGTAGGATCTTCTGGACATCTTCTAGAATTATGGCCTGTTTTTTTACATTTACCACAATGCAACTTGATTTGACTCCTACTGACTTTAGTGGGGTCTTTTGACTCCTTTGGCTGCTTGATAGTTTCTTCTACACTTTTTTTCCTTACAGCTGTCTTGGCCTACCACACTTTATGTCTTATACAATGGTGGAAGTGGTGGTTCCCTATTTGTCAATGGCCATTCTTCAGGCCCAGACATGGGCTTAATGGATCCTGCATAAGTTTTCAAATAGCTATCTGTGGAGTAGAATGAGCTAACATAATCTACTACTGTTTCCTTGCCACTTTTCATCCAAATTGCACGAATAGCATGCTTGCAAGGGATTCCTGTCAGCTGTCATTTCCCACAACTGCATGATTTTTTACCCAAATCAACTTCTTGTTGATCCTCCTACATCCCTCTAACTTCAAATAACTCATAATCACATTGATCACACAAATAACCAGCAGCAGCCTTTTCATTGGCTTCAATCTTTGCAACAATTCTAGGACATATTTTAACTCTATACCTCCATGTCTAATCTTCATGTAGTCCCACCAATCTGTCATACCTCCTACATATTCTGATTTAACTCTTCCTCCATGTCTAATCTTAAGTGTGAATAAATCACTTTCATGCACTCCATCTGTTTGAAAAAACAACACACACACACACACACACACACACACACACACACACACACACACACACATATATATATATATATATATATATATATATCATATTTAGTTAATTGATGCAACAAAAAAAAAAGGTTTCTTTAGCAGAGTTGTTTTTTCAGAAGCTTCCTGAAACAGAGATTAACAATTTGCAATGGACAGGGACCTTGTAGCACTAATAATATTTTTTCACAATTGCATACTAAAGACAAAGCAAATTATAATACTTTAGGAAAAAAAAAAAAAAAGCAAAAGCAAATTATAATTCTGATCACTTCTCAAATAATCCAAACAAAAGCATTTTTAGTTAAATAAATAAGCCAAAATTTCAAACCAAATTGCATAAGTCAAAATTTCAAACGCACGCAACATACATAAGCCAAAATTTCAAACCAAATCATAAGCCACAACTTCATAATTTAAACAGATTTCAAGCTTAAATTGTTCTAACAGCTATTAAGAAATGAATTAAATCCACATAAACAAAATTACTAACAAGATTTTTTGGCGGGCATTTGTTTCCAATTCTTCTTCTTGAATCCCCCATGATGTGTTGCTTCCAGTTCTGCGTTTGCTCCCAATGCCAGCAGTGCGTAAGTTTGCCGTGTGTTTGTTGTGTGTTTGTTTCCAGTAAGTTTTTGCTCTGTATTCGCTTCCGGTGAGAGAGAGAGAGAGAGGGGGGGGGGGGGGGGGGGAATTGTATCGGCAGAAGAATGAGAAGAGGGATGGGGAGGGAGGAATTGTATCGGCGGCAAAGACTAAGAATTGGGAGAAAAATTAGGAAATGTAATTACTAATTAATTAATTAATTAATTTGATAAAAAATAAAAAGAAATGAAATTACCCTATTAACCTTGTTATTAACAGCCAACAAACAGAATCTTTAACGAAGGACTAAAGTGTGTAAAATCATTAAAGTCGAGGACTAAATAGAGTACAAAAAGTCATTTAGGACTAAACTGAGTAAAACCACTATAGTCGAGGACTATATTGGGTATTAACTCAAAATTAAATTGAACGAAATTTAAGTACAGAGACTAAACTAAACAAAATACTATATTAAAGGAACTTGATAAATACTTTGAACCAATTTTTTCTATTATTTTGGATTATACTATTAAATAATATATTTTTTTATGCCACCTTACAATAACATGACATGACAAGTTGACAACGTTATTGTCACGTGGGCAAACTTAACGGAAAAAAATGATGTTAAACATTATCCTGGATTGTTCTAAATTTTAAAGTATAGACATTAAAATCAACAAAATTTAGATACAAAGACTAAATTAAACAAAACGTTATAGTAAAGGGACTTGATAGGTATTTTAATCTAATTTTTTCTATTACGGAGTATTTTTTTTAAAAAAAAATCCTTTTATGTTTGGAAATTACTAAATTATGAGTCTCCCCGTCCGTCCAAAAGGGGGTTGCGGATGCAAAAGGAGATCGGAAAATTGGTGGGGGAAGAAAGTGAAAATTCAAAATATGGGCCACGTCACCCCTGCTTCAACTCGCCGCCTCGACTCAGTAGCTGACTCACCCTTCTTCTTCTCTCCCCTTCCATCACACATCACCCCTTCTCTCTTTCTCTCTCTAAACTCCTTTTTCTGCAAACCCTTTTTTATTTTAATCTTTTCCATACCCATTTTCGTCTTTTCACGCTCCCTCTTCCCCGTCTTCTTCCTTTTCCATTTCCACCTCCGCAGTGGCTAGTGTGCGCCGTATGCTCCCCAGCATTCCTACGCAGCGTATGATAGCCTCCCCCGTCTGTCACTTTCCCTTTATCTAGGGTTTCCCTTCACTCCTCTGCACAAACATTCCTTCCTTTCCAATCGTCGCCTCCAAATTTTCATCTCTCATCTCTATTCAGAAATCAGGTACTATTCGATTCATGATTCTCTAATTTTGATAGTTATGTATGTATGTATGCGTGAATATATGCGCGAGAAGGGAATTTTTATAATTTATTTGGATTTTGGCGTTTAATTTTTAGTGTATGGTTTTAATTATTTTTTAATCGTATGGAATTTGAGTTTTTTTTTTTTTTTTAATTAAAATTTCCTAGGGTTTGAGTGGACTGTGAATTTTGAGTTTTGTGCTATAATTTTTAGTTCGGAGGGTAATGTTACGTTGAATGGCTATAGAAAAGAATAGCTTCAAGTCATCGAGATTGGAGCCGGAGTTTTCTTCGCATAGTAGGGAAGTGATGTCGAGCGACGAGGAGGAGTTTAGGTATAATTCGGGTGCGGTTGAATCCGAGGATGACGACGATGATGAGTTTGATGATTGTGATTCCGGGGCGGGGTCGGATGACTTCGACTTGCTGGAATTGGGGGAGTCTGGGGAGGAATTTTGTCAGGTTGGGGATCAGACATGTAGCATTCCTTATGAACTGTATGATCTCCAGGGGTTGGGTGATGTGTTGTCTATGGATGTTTGGAACGACGTCTTGACTGAGGAAGAAAGGTTTTGTCTCACACAGTACCTTCCGGACATGGACCAGGAAACGTTTATGCGGACGTTGAAGGACCTTCTGACAGGCTGCAATTTGCATTTTGGGAACCCTCTCAATAAGCTGTTTAACATGTTGAAGGGAGGGTTGTGTGAGCCGAGGGTGGCTCTTTATCGACAAGGATTGATATTCTTTCAGAAGCATCAGCATTATCATCTCCTAAGGAAATACCAGAATGTGATGGTCAATAGTTTTTGTCAGATAAGGGATGGGTGGCAGAATTGCAGGGGGTATAGCATTGAGGAGAAGCTCCGTGTTTTGAACATCATGAAGACTCAGAATAGTTACATATCTGAGAAAATGGAAGAAATGGAAAGCGATGAATCTGACAGAGAGGGCTCTGGTGATGCTTTTTGGGGCAAAAGAGTAAAGGATCGGAAACATGGACAAAAATCTGCACGTTATTCTGGATATGGGATGGGTTCATCAATTGATTTATTATATCCTGGAAAGCAAACAGCAGCAGAACCTGCAAAATTTGGGAAGCAAAATTCAAAAGGAGCATTGAAGTTAACGGGGACAAAGGGTTCTACTATGAAAGAGTTTTCTAGCAACTTCCCATCTGTTCATCATGAGATGGAAATTAATGCTGGGTACTATGGATCACAGCCTCTTTCTTCTCATCATGGTAAAATTGCAGGTTATGACTCTGGCATGACAGTTCACATGAGAGATCGATTATTGGGTGATGAGGATGATGATGAAGGAATGTATGAAGTGTCTGCTCAGAGAAACTTCTCACGAGCTGGGCTGAAAGATAAAGCAGGGCATTTCAAGATGGGGAAGAAACATGATGGATTGAGAAGCGAAGAGTACCTTGAGAGTTTGAATGGATTCCCTATGCCTCTGAAACCTGAATTGTATGCCACTAGCAGGAAAAAGACCATTCATCAGTTGTTGGATACCTCTGTCTCGAAGTCCTTGAATGCCAAGGCTCCTTTTGATTTTGGGAGCAAGGCTAACTATGTTGAGAATCTTCAGCAGTTTCCCTCTGAAGATAGGATGATTTATGGGAAAGGCCGGATTTCAAATCCATCTTTGAAAGGAAGCCGAATGGAATTAGCTGATGAAAGTGAGCCATTTTGGCATGGTAAAGGGCAACTGGACCCCTATTTAACCAATCCATCTCAGAAATACAGTGATTGGAATTCCAAAAGCAAAAAGTGGAAGCATCAAGAGTCTTCTGATCTCAAGCAGAATGACTTTCATTCAGGGTATAAAGCAAAGCCATTTCAGGAGAAGTTTAGGGCAACCTTACATAGTGATCAGCGAGGTGTTGCCGGGTCCAAGGGTAGAAGGGGAATTCTCAAAAATGAAGAAACTGAATCTGATTCATCAGAAGAAATTGATGAAGACGATGACAATCCTTTGCTGAGGAGCAAATTGGCATTTCCATTTCCTTGTGATGCCCCAGATATGAAATCTGGCTCAAATGCTAAGAAAGCTAAATTTGTTAAGAAAAACAAAAGGGGCGGTTTTGATGAACATTTATCCTCGATAAAAGCAGGGAATCTTGGCTCTAGGGCAGAGCAGAAGGGTAAGATGCTTGATTATAGTCGTGTGAATATTTTATCTGCTAGAGAGTTGGAAGAAAACTACTTAAGTGGTCAAGGGCAGCTGATTGGTGATAATGATGAGGATGATGATAATGATGATCAACCAATCTACAAGTTGGCAAGGAATGGCCGTATTCAAGGGGACTATCGACCGTCATTGAGAGAGAAACAGAAAGGTAGGTTTGGTGTTCCACAATCAAATTGTATGCAAGATTTTGGTCTTCACGGGGGGACACAATTATTAGCAAATGATAATGAGGGTATTCATAGGTCTGGAAAGAAAAGTCAGATACTTGAAATGCTTGCTGGTGATCATCAAGAAAGATCTGATCTACAGTTAATAGGGTGCAGCTCTACCTCGAAAAAGCGGAAAATCAAGGAGGATGTCTCATTTATGGATGAGCAAGGTGATAATGAATTTACACAGCTGCAACTAGAAGATGCCAGTTCCTCTAAGAAGCGGGGGAAAAGAAAATTGGAGAGTGAAACAGGTAATTCAGAAAAAGGGGTCTCTGAGTTACCATCCTCAGATATTAGAGAAGAAGATGTTCATCAAGAAAGCATACTGCAGAAAAAGCCATTCACTTTGATTACACCTACTGTTCATACTGGCTTCTCGTTCTCCATCATTCATCTTCTTTCAGCCATTCGCATGGCCATGACTAGTTTGCTTTCAGAAGATTCTCTGGAGGTTGGCAAGAATCTTGATCAGGATGATGGAAGACAGAAGTCCGAAGAGGAACGTGGTCTGAAGCAGGAGGGTTTAAATGGAGTTAAAACACAAGCAGAGTTGGATGTCAATGGCTCGCTTTCTTCTCATGAAATGAGGATCCCTTCTCTAGCAGTTCAGGAAATTGTTAATCGTGTGAAATCTAATCCAGGAGATCCCTGCATTCTTGAAACTCAAGAACCTCTCCAGGATTTGGTAAGAGGGGTTCTCAAAATATTCTCATCCAAGACAGCACCTTTAGGAGCAAAGGGCTGGAAGCCACTTGTTGTTTATGAAAAATCTACAAAGAGTTGGTCCTGGGTTGGTCCAGTGCATCATACTTCATCTGATCACGAGGCTATGGAGGAAGTTACATCTCCTGAAGCATGGGGTCTTAATCATAAAATGCTAGTTAAGTTAGTTGATTCATTTGCCAATTGGCTGAAAAATGGTCAGGAGACACTTCAGCAGATAGGGAGCCTTCCTGCTCCGCCTTTGTCGTTGACACAATATAACTTTGATGAGAAAGAGCGGTTCAGGGATCTGAGAGCACAAAAGAGTCTGACCACCATTACTCCAAGCTCTGAAGAAGTAAGAGCTTATTTCCGAAAGGAAGAAGTCCTCAGGTATTCCATCCCAGACAGGGCCTTCTCTTACACAGCTATTGATGGGAAAAAGTCAATTGTTGCCCCATTGAGAAGGTGTGGCGGCAAGCCAACATCAAAAGCTCGAGACCACTTTATGCTCAAACGGGATAGACCTCCTCATGTTACGATTCTGTGTCTTGTGCGAGATGCAGCTGCAAGGTTGCCCGGTAGTATTGGGACTAGAGCTGATGTGTGTACTCTAATCAGAGATTCACAGTACATTGTTGAAGACGTGTCTGATGGACAGGTGAATCAAGTTGTTAGTGGCGCACTGGATCGTTTGCATTATGAACGCGATCCATGTGTACAGTTTGATACGGATAGGAAACTGTGGGTGTATTTACATCGAGAAAGGGAAGAAGAAGATTTTGAGGATGATGGGACTTCATCCACAAAGAAGTGGAAGAGGCAAAAGAAGGAATCCGCTGAGCCTATTGACCAAGCGGCTGTAACTGTTGCTTATCATGGAGCTGGAGATCAAAATGTTGGTGACTTGGGCTCCGATCCCAACTTTGATCTGCCAAATATTCACGAAGATAAAGGGAAGGAGCTTGAATATGAGGATTCTCGGGATCTTGGTGATGACAATGTTGAGAACCACCATGGAACAGAACAAGGTAACCCTCCAGATTTTGGGCAGACCCAAGCGGCGTCGGATGCTATGGGGGAAAACAAATTGTTCTGTCAAGAGAATTCTACAAATGACAATTTTGATGATGAAACATAGAACCAAAACCACCTCACTGGCTCGAGCTTCTCGTGAGTAGCTATCTGATGCTCTGCTCTTATCACATGCTGCTGTTTTTATGTTCATGTTGATGCTTGCTATTATTCTACCTCACTATACTTATTCCGCCCAATTTTGCAGGGTGTGCCATGGCGATCGAATGCTGCTAGAAGTGAACATCCCTTGTTTTAGCACATCACTTCAAATGTTTTCTCCTTTCTGTTCCCCATTGGAGGAATTTAAATCATGAGATATACCCTTAAGAAATGAAAGATGATGATGATGTATCAGCCCTTCTCTGCTTAATAGGGAGAAACAAACATTCCATCAGAATAGTAGTCTGTTAATATTATCTTGATGGATAAGTACAATAAAGAAATTTTGCATTTCGTCAATCTTTTTATATTGTGTTATTTGTTACCATAACCCCCTCCCTCGGTATTCAAAAGAACATACATATTGGGTTATGATTAAAATAGTATAATATTGGGTTATTGTTTCAAGGGACTTCTCTGTTGTTTCTATGTTACACACTGGACACCATGTAACTTGCGGTGCTCTTCCAACTCCCTAATGTTGTCGTTAACCATCACGCCCTGCCTGGTTCAGAAATTTTAACTTGATTACTGGGAGGGCTCGGAAATTATGTACTCCTAGCCTTAACTAGCTTGATCGTGCCTCCGTCACAGTTACATTATATGATTAACGTCTTATTACGCAAATTGGGCTTAAGAAAGTAGCAATGGAATGCTTCAACTATAAACTCCTCTTAATCTGTGATACTCAAAGTCCCAAACCGACTGAACTTATAAACTATGTTGTATATAAAGCACTGCGGCGTCTGTCTCCTAAAATAACGCTCGCCAAAAAACCTCAGAAAGAATATAGAACACAATTACTAACTATTACACAGACAAAAGGTTCGAAATTGAATGCAATCTTTGGAGTTGATGCTACTGTACAGCGGGGGGTTTGTTCCTTAAAAGTTGAGGGCCACTCAATTAATAGCAGTAAGGGGAGTTCTTGAATCTCTCCAGGTTTGGGCCGCCTCTACAACATGCTTTACGTCCCCATTAGACTGCCTTGATGATTTTAGTAGCTCCTCAAAAGCCGGCGTTCGGAGCTCTTCAATACAACCAATGCTAGGAAGGTTGAACAGTCTCTTCTTTGGAGTTGAACATGATGGTTCATCAACCTATTATTACATTTCAAAAAACCATTAATGGTTGATCGTGCGTGCATCTACGTGCTGCGCTACAATAGACCTCCTTACCGTGTATTCTTCCGACAGGCATTTTCCTGCATATTCTCTGATTTCAGCAACTTTGTGGAGGTGTCCAGTGTTCAACTCTCTCAGTTGTCCACAACAAGGAACTATCATGGAATCAAGGTTCTCGCATGCATCGCGATCAAGTTGTAGAGAATCTGCCATTGGTTTTTACTTGAGAATGACTTATCTAATAACAACAGGAATTCAACATTATTCTCCTATAGATAACTTACGGTCGATAGATGAAAGGAGATTCTTGCTTGCACTTTCTGCATCTTCAAGTGCAGATGATACGCCCGAAGAAAACTGCACACGCAAGCCTTGATTCGCACTCAATCCTTCCCTGGAACAATTCACAATAAACATCAGAAACCTCACTATCCAAGTCTCAAGAAGAGAAACTTTGATTTGTAGAAGCTACTAGCACCATGAACCAACCTCACTATTTCATGTACAGAAGCTACATTGGCCTCCTCTAGATTGAGCAAAGATCTTTGAGCATCGTTCCACTGCTGTGCACCCATTTTTGCCTTTTGCAAACTGTACACAAGTTTGTTTAGTTTAGCAGCAACTCAAATATGGATATCAATCAAGGTCTCTTACAGAGATAGAGTCCTACACGTACCAGCTTTGTACGACAACTTCCATTTCTTTCTTACTGTTCTCCACACAAACAGTATCCTCTAGGTAATATGATTCAGCTTTTTCCATGTATGTTGTCCACTCATCTTTCACTGAAGAAGTTGAATCATGCATAGTTGACATCTCTTGTTTTAGTCTATCCGTTCTATTGGAGGCACTTTCCCGGAGGCCATTAATTGCAGTTTGAACCTAGAATAGAAACAAATTAAAGGAACTCATTGCCATAGGTGATTCAACTTTCAACTGAAGAAGATCATTTTTAAAAGGAAAGAAGACCAGATTTCAAGCCTAAAGCAAATCAATATTTCCTATTACAGGAAGTTAATAAATGCAAAAGCAACATATAGGCTAGCAACTGGGGCTTTCATCAAGGCCTCAATAAAAATAAAGTAGAACAAAATTGTGAAAAGCTCCGCCAAAAGTGATCACAACTGAATGTAAAAAGTGAATAACATACCAGTTTTTTCTTCCTAGCATTTGAGCTTGCAAGCAACTCTGCCACTTTTTCTAAGAGTTGCCTTTCTTCATTCATAGCACATTCCTACAAAAGAAATGGGCATTTGTGTGTGTTATGTTTGAAACACCCATGTTTATCATTTATGCAAAAAACAGGTTATGGCAGATCAGACAAATCACCTCAAACTTCTCTTCAAGCTCAGAGAGCTTTTGGTCATTGACTTCTTGTGCTTCTTCAACCATTTGACCCAACTGTGACACATGCATATCTAAAGTCTTAAAAAAACTTGTGGTTGTTTGGGAGATTGACCTTGAGGTTGTGATAGTCCTACAGTGAGCCTGGAAATAATGTTGAAAAACTTTATAATCTGCCACTTGGGTGTTGGAGAACTTGAAAAAAGGAAAAACACAACTTGGTATACCTCACGTTGCTGTTGGGCATATGCAATTAATTTCTCCTCCTGGCTATGAAGACTGCTTTGAAGTTCATTAATTAATGTATCAGCTTTGGAAGCAATCCCCTTGAAGAGCTGCACCATTTCACCATTTCAAGAGAAGATAAGAGACAAAATTAACAGAAAAAATGTGCCTAACTGAAAAGCAACTTGCAAGAGATACATACCTCCCCTAGAGCTGATGAGTGTTTAGAAACTTCAGAATTTAATCGTTCAAAAGTCAACTGAGAATTACCATCAAGCTTTCCTGCTAAATCATCCAAAGCATGGATGCCAGACCCAAACATAACTTTTAACTTTTCTAAGTGACCCCGAAGCTCCTCAGTAGCCTAAGAACACAAAAAAAAAAAAAAAAAAAAAAAAAAAAAACCATGTATATTAATATTAATAATAATCTAAAAAGTAAAAACCGGATTTGTTTGAAATTTATCCGAGAATACCTCAGTCTTAGTAGAGACAAAACAGTTCATGTCTTCCTCCATGGCTTTAAGCTGCTGCTCTTGTTGTGTGGCTGAAGCAGCAACAGTCTTATGCAGGAAATCAAGCTGTTGAGTTAATTGGGATTGAAATTTCTGTATGAGAACCTTATTTCCATCTTCTATTTTGTCCTTGCGCTCTGGAACAAATATTTATGCAATATAAACAGCTGTACAATCAGCATTAAACCTCTTATATTGTACATAAGACCTCATGTACATTCAACATAAATGTCACACTAACCGATCTTGGCAAATAAGTTGGACACATCTGATGCAGCATTCTCCAGTTCAGCTCTAAGTTCAAATGCATGCTCAACAAGTGCTTTCTCTGAATAAGGAAAAGTTGGTATTAAAGTAGGAACTAGATCAAGACCAATAAGGAAAATTGGTGTTAAAGGTACCATGCACAAGATAAGGAACTAGATCAAGATATGTGAGCCAATGCACATCATCGAATAATAAGGAAAAATTTTTAGCAGGCATCAAATGATAGTAAATGACAGAAAAATCCCGTTTTGCCCAAGGAATGAATATGGAGAAGCTTACCAGATTTCAGAAGATTGGATATTAGATATTCCTTTTCTTTTATTGTTGCATTTGCTTGCCTGTGTTTTTCTTCAAGATCAACCAACATATGCTGAGTTTCCTGAAGCTTTTTCTAATAGCCCAAAAAACAAAACAAAGAAGTAATGTTACCTCTTAAGGAAACAAATGTCAGTAAAAGTTCATTTATATGGTCTAGATATTCGAACCTCTGTTTTTTCAAGTTTGTCGGTCAATTCTGCACTCAACAGCTGTTCAGAATTGTGCAGTTCCTGAAGCTCCATCAGTTGCTGCAAGCAGAACAAACGTAATAATGAATTAAACTTCTCAAAGATAAGTAGAAAACTGTGTAGTCCAACTAAGTCAACTCAGTCTAATACCTTATCTCTGGAGTCCATGTCAAGCTCCATGCGTTCTATCTTTTCAGCCATAGCCTGAAGGGTGAAGACAGGTAAATACAATTTTTCAGAAAATAGTTAGATGGATGCATTTGATCATGGAAATAGAAAGATAGTCATGTACCTTCTTCTCAGCTTCCTCTTGAAGGTATCTGTCTCTAGGTATATAGATCCCATTCTTCTCTCTTGCAGCATAGACCTCTGGTTGGCATTAAAACATGTTTTTAAAAATAATAAGAACAAAATTATGTACCATGGAAGCAGGTATATGCCCAGTAATTTACATTTATCCACAAAATAAAACTAAACATGCATGGAATGCATGCAGAAATAGAGTGGTAAAGCAATTAATGACCTTGCTTCAGCCGGTCAATTTCAGAGTACAAATCCTTGATCATGGCAGATTTCATCATCTTCTGGTTAATCTGAAAGAAAATGAAACAACTTTCAATTTTCAATTGATTACAAGTGAAAAAAAAGTTTGTGCCCTTTGAAATAGAGGTAGAAACAGATGCTAGAAACAACTGCTGCCCAACAGAACTACATTCAGAGACGGTCTTTCCATAGAAATTTCAATAAACTCACCTCTGGTTTATTCTTTATATTTTTGGCGCGGTGAGCATAATCTAGAGTGCTGAGTGTCTCTTCCAAGCACGTCACTGAAGGTGCTATTGTTGCGATTATGCATGTCTTTGTTTTCCCTCCCAGAGAATCCCTCAACAACCTTGTTAATTTGCTATCCCTGATATCCAGTTAACATACCTTCATATCTTATGGTCTTGAAAATGAGCTAGGCATAAAGTCAAAGTAATACAAGTTGATTCAAAAAGCACCTGTATGGGACATGGCCAGAGTGCTCAACTAAAGCATTTATGACACGGCCAAGTGTAAGCAAACTCTTGTTGATCTCACCTGCTTCCCTTGCTCTACCCTGCAAAAGCAAAGTTGTCAAAAGCATAATCACAGTACATTATGCCACTTTATGCTGTGAACAGATCAAATTGAAACTAATATCTTGGAGATACTTTTGAGGACATCAAAACTTAACTATCACGTACTCAGGAATTTGTTAAAATAATTTGCTCAAGGTGACATTTCTTTTGTATTAGAGGATAATGAAGCAGATTTCACAGCACAAAGGCTTAACACAAATAAATTGT